CCATGCCATATATATGTTGAACATATATTCGATTCATATATTTATTTCATCCATGCCATATATACGTAACTTTTGCATTTAATTTTTGGGCACATAATATTGTCCTATATGGCACCCGATAGAAATTTGAGAGACTCATCCACTGGATCATCTGATGACGGATCGTTTTCGTAATAATTTAAACAAGGCACATTGTTAAACACACCGCAAGAAAATTGAGTACTTGTGTCCATCGGTGATCTGGCGATCATTGAATCCGGAGTGAAAACACTATCGGTATTCTCCTGTCCGACTGTTTTGCTTCTACGAGCTGTAGTTCTCAGAATATTTACCTTTTTGCAATAAACCCACGCTTTCCGTTTCATTCTATTCCCCGCCATGTTGACAAAACTGGTAAATGAGAAGAAATAATCAATTTGAGCGCGAAAACAAGACAATAACTTGAGTCGGTAGTCCTGGGTTGAGTTTCGTGTCTGGACAAAAAGGAATGATTCCCACACACGCTATAGCTACACAAGTTCAGTTATAAGTGCTTTTTGAGTTATTTTTTTTAAAAAAATAACTATATGTTAGCGTCTAGATTGGTGTATTGTGGTGTAGTGTAACCTGATCCATCCCATTCGCCTTTAATCTACCGCTTATAAGCGAATCTAATTATTCTCAAATTACCGCATACATGCTGATAAAGTAGGCCCTATTTACCTACCGAGATTAGATTACCGAGAACAAAACAAAGGCCAAAACAAAACAAAACAAAGGAAAACAAAACAAAGGAAATGATTTCAGAATGTTTTTCTGTTCTTCAGTAATCTTCACGCGTGGAATTTTATCCATGATCTCTTTTTACCAGATGTAAAAGCGATGAATTTTCCTCTTTCGCTTGAACCTTGCCACATGTCAAGTGCGACTGCGATACCGAAGCTAAGCTACAAATCCAGCACCTTTTTTTTTCCTTTGTTTTGTTTTCCTTTGTTTTGTTTTGTTTTGGCCTTTGTTTTGTTCACGGTAATCTAATCTCGGTAGGTAAATAGGGCCTACTTTATCAGCATGTATGCGGTAATTTGAGAATAATTAGATTCGCTTATAAGCGGTAGATTAAAGGCGAATGGGATGGATCAGGTTACACTACACCACAATACACCAATCTAGACGCTAACATATAGTTATTTTTTTAAAAAAAATAACTCAAAAAGCACTTATAACTGAACTTGTGTAGCTATAGCGTGTGTGGGAATCATTCCTTTTTGTCCAGACACGAAACTCAACCCAGGACTACCGACTCAAGTTATTGTCTTGTTTTCGCGCTCAAATTGATTATTTCTTCTCATTTACCAGTTTTGTCAACATGGCGGGGAATAGAATGAAACGGAAAGCGTGGGTTTATTGCAAAAAGGTAAATATTCTGAGAACTACAGCTCGTAGAAGCAAAACAGTCGGACAGGAGAATACCGATAGTGTTTTCACTCCGGATTCAATGATCGCCAGATCACCGATGGACACAAGTACTCAATTTTCTTGCGGTGTGTTTAACAATGTGCCTTGTTTAAATTATTACGAAAACGATCCGTCATCAGATGATCCAGTGGATGAGTCTCTCACATTTCTTATCAATATGGAGAGTAATTCGGTGACCTGCAGCGATGAATCTCCAAGCAGTTCCGAGGAATCCGAGAGTGAAACAGAACGAAGTGATTCTGGCTCAGACAGCGAATGTGACAGCGAACACAACAATGAGACAAGCAACCTTGAAACAAACGATGAAGATATCAGGGATGACAGTATACCGCTATACAATGACGCTAGAGTGTCAAGACTCGGTGCACTGATTTTAGTGATGCTTTTTAGCCTAAGACATCAGCTCTCCGGAAAAGCTCTGATCGATTTGGTCAAAGTGCTACGTGCTTTACTGCTTGATGGTCACAAATTTATCGCCTCTGCATACTTACTCAAGAAGTATTTTGCTGATCTTTTTGGCGAACCTGCACCAATTAGGCACTCAAACTGTGGGAACTGTCTTGGCAGAATACGGAACGGTCAAGCACAGTGCTTAAAAGCTAATTGTGAGAATTCGAAGAAAAAGACGGAGTACTTCTTGGAGCTGGATTTACAAAAACGTTTGTGTCAGCTGTATAGAGGTATGAAATCAACTTAGGCTTTGTCTAATTTAGTTTCCGTATTTCTAATCTGTATCCTCTGTAAAGTTCTTCCAACTTAAATATTTTTTCTATGTTTCTAGTGGCGAGTTGTTTATTATAGGATGAGGTTGAGCAAAATATGATTTTTCATTGGCGAGCAGATCAATTATTTGCCGAAGCTGAATGCTGTGGCAAATACACTGACAAATCACAATGTTTGGGAATAACCACTTTCTGACGGCTCAGGATGACGATCAGCCTTATTTTTTTACACAAGAGCATGGACACAGTTACGCCTATAATAAAGGCGGTACTTTATCGCATGAACTGACCATTATCTTGTAGGCAGTTATTTGCAGGTCAAAAAGAGGAAGAAAAAATGTATCGAACTGCAAAACATATGCAGTTAGTAATCTTAATATGACATCCCTGAATTAATTGATTCGAAATCTGATTGATAATTGATGTCTAAGAAATCTTGCTGGTGTTACTCAAAAAGATGCAGAGTTTATCAAACTGCTGGAATATCGATTTGAGAATGATTTCCTTGCCAGTAATGACATTTGTGACATATTCAGTGGACAAGAGTACCGTAAACTTATGCAGCCTGGTTTCTTACATGGCAAAGACAAAGCACTGAACATCTCCTTCTCTTTCAATACTGATGGTGTTTCACCTTTCAAGTCATCAAACAAGCAAAACTTCTGGCCAATTTTTCTGGTCATTAATGAACTTCCCCCCAAAGTTAGGTAAGAAAGGTTATCAAGGTTCATCCCCTTTTTGCAAACCAAGTAACAAATTATTTTGCCACATGTGATGATGAGGGCCCAGAGCAACAGTTTGGCCACCTCAAGTTCTTTTTTCACTCATCTAGATGTGCTCACTAAACCTTAACAGTTTGAAAAATCTTCTAGTTTTTAAGAAACTCTAACTTCTAACTTTAACTTCAACAGATTGCCTCAGCTGTTTCAATTCTCAGGTATTTTCCCACCCTCGTCTCCAAGATTAAAACAACAGTTAATGCAGAATATGTGAAAGCACTAGCCAAACACCTGTCTGGGGAGCGATACTTGAAAGTTTTATACTTGTCTTTGTGTGCTAGTTGAGGGGTTATTTAGGCCATTAATGGATCACCATAATAAAGAGTATAATTTCATATTTGAACAATTTTTATTTTCTCTAGACCTGCACCTCCTAATGGTAACCCTACAGCATATGTCCTTAGTGTTTCCACAAGAGTAGCACTAATCAAAGAAGAGGTGTTGGCAGTAAACCGGTTTCTTTGCTGCAGAGGGTTGGCAGTCATTGGTCAGGGAGATCATGTGGAAGCATATAGGAAGGTAGTTGTAAATGGTTTTGTCTACAGTTCAGCACGAATGGCTAAAAGCAAACTAAAAAACTCCTACACTGTTCAATATGAGGATGGGAAGGGCAAAGTTTAATTCGGGGAAATAGAGATATTTTTAATTTTAAAAAACAACCATGCTGCAGTCACAACAAAGTTAACACCAAGTGGATCTTTGATGTCAGGGATAACATTGTCATCACATCTTTTAGATAACCTATGCAATTCAGGTGTTTTAATCCACCACTTGGCAGTGACAAAAAGGTCATTGAATTTTTTTTACATACCACTGTGCAACATCAAGAGAATATGCATGGTAGTTAGTACTTGTGGGAATGACATGCTAACGATAAGCACATTTCCAAACTTGGTAGAACATGATTAACTTGTCTCTTTGACCTATACAAACTGTTCAACTACATTGTGAGTAATATTTTGTTTTGTCAAAAAGAACACCCAAGCTCGAACACCATATTTGCTACTCCATATTGCTAGTGTTACATTAACATATTTGTAAAAATCCCATTGTTCTTTCATTCATTACTTTTTGTTTGATTTAATTCATTATTCCTTGTTTGATTAAGTATAGAAAATTTTTAGTAGTTGTCCACATTTTGAAGAATTACAGATTTCTAAGTCCAGTTTCAATCTCCAAGGTAAATCTTGTTGATACTTTTATGTGAGGTAAGATATAAACTTAAATGTGTCTAAGTTGTAGACTTGAATACTCGAATAAGGTTTTAATTACGAAGATCTGGTTTGACTGTACAAAAAAGGAAACAAACGTAAACGAAGCGAAACGAAAATACTACAGTGACAACATACTTACAAGATTTGTGGACTCGCAGGAAACGTAAAGAAAACATTATGAGAAAAAATAAACAAACATTTAGGACCGAACTTTGACTTCTGGAGGTCCAAGCACATGGTACATACCATAATATCAACAATACATGACGTAGATTACCAGTCCCGCGCGGACTGAACACGAGAAACGTTTTGTAACTTACATTCCGGCCCCTAAAATCGGACATAATGAACAAAGATTTTAAAGAAACTTGACGCAAACAAAACATTATATCTAACAGTTCTACGAGAGAATATAAAGTTTGAATCATATCATAGTTCAGTTCAGTAATGCTTCATTTCATGCCTTCTGACATCTCCACCGACTCCAGGAGAACAATCTTCTCAACAGGGCGATCATACAGCGATGTTCTGATCTTCACAGTTACACTTCTCACGTACCCATCCGTGCTGTTCTTGCGTACAGCGATAATCCGACCAAGAGGCCATGAAGATCTTCGTACTCTATCATCAACCACAAGTACTATGTCATTAACGGCAAAGTTCCGTGATGGATAAGCCCATTTCTGCCTCTCCTGCAACTGTGGCAAGTACTCTCTAACCCATCTCTGCCAAAACACATCGACCAAATATTGTACCTGACGCCACCTTGTTCGGGAGTAGCCATCCTCTTTCCTGAACACGCCAGGAGGGAGATTCGGACCTGACCGTAACAACAGTAAATCATTCGGCGTAAGAGCTTCAGAGTCCGATGGGTCATCTGACGATTTCGTTATGGGACGCCCATTAACAACAGACTCCACTTCACACATCAGGGTGGTTAACCCTTCATCATCCAATGGCTGCTCCTTAATGATAGCAAGGAGAATCATTCTGACAGTTCTAATACATCGCTCCCATATGCCGCCAAAATGGGATCCTGATGGTGGATTAAAGAGCCATTTGATATTTCGTTGCAAGAAGAACTCATGGATCCGACTCTCATTCCACTCATAGATAGCTTCTTGGAGTTCCTTGTTTCCGCTAACAAAATTTGACCCGTTATCGCACCTCATCACTTCAGGGATACCTCCTTTTGCAATGAAGCAGCGCAATGGGTTTACAAACGAATCCGTGTCCATACTCTGGGCGACTTCCAAGTGAATGGCTCTGGTAGCCAAACACGTAAACAAGACACCGTGGCGCTTGACTTGACTTCTGGCCCTCTTTACCCAAAACGGGCCAAAACAATCAATGCCTACAATACTGAAAGGGGGTTTATCAGGTGTGACCCTGTCAGCAGGAAGATCGGCCATCTTCTGAGCTCCAGACGGAGCCTGTCTTCGTCTACAGCTTAAATAACGATTTACAACTCTTCTCACATTGACTCTTCCTTTGATAATCCAGTAACTCTTTCTGATCAAAGAGAGCACATATTCTTGACCAGAATGTCCAGAAAGCAAATGGTAATACCTGACGATCAGATCTACAACATGGTGATTCTTTGGCAGTATTATAGGGCGTCTTCGCTCTTGTTCAATTGGTGCGTGCCTCAATCTTCCCCCAACACACAGCAGGTCATTGCGCAACTCCGGATCCAACTTGGCAATTGAGCTTGATTTCTTGACAGAAAGTGTGCGGCTGGTTCAGACTAATTTCTTGCGCACAACTTCTGATTCTTTATCCTCAAGACACACCAACTCTTCACTTAAGCTTTGCCTTTGTACATACTTCAAGACTTCAATCTTAGCAGAGTGCATTTCTTCTACACTGATGGGACTGGGTTTCCCAGAGAGGAGTACTTTAGCACTGGCTTCCTTTCGTCCACGACACTCTCACAGAAGATTAGAACGGTAGCGTAGTATCCACGCCATCAACTTCTGGAGCCTATACCAGGAGGAACAGGACTGCACCATTCGGTTTAAGAAGTCGACTTCAACTGTAGACGCTACTGAGAAGGCTTTCCTTTCTTTCTTTACCTCGGGATCATCTCCCTTTATTTCCATAGGAACGTCGGGTTGCTTAGGCCAGCAGTCCATTGCTTCCCAGAGAAAGGAAGGGCCACTGGTCCAGCAGTTTTTGTTGATAAGCTCTTCAGCGGAAAGTCCTCTAGATGCATCGTCAGCAGGGTTAGAACCTGTACCAACATAGTACCACTGGTCTGGTCGTGATCTTTCATGGATTGTTGTAATTCTGTTCGCAACGAACGTCTGGAACCTCCTTTCCTTGTTCACGATATAGCTCAACACATGTACTGTCGCTCCAAAACAACCTTTCATCCACTGGAACATCCAGCTCATGCTGCATCATCCTGTTCAATCTAGTGGCAACTACAGCGGCTGACAGCTCCAGGCGAGGGATAGTAACTGACTTCTGAGGCGTTTGTCGTGACTTCCCTATCAAAAAGGCACAATGGACATTTTTAGCTTCATTGAGGACTCGAAGGTACGAAACAGCACCATATCCTTCACTTGATGCATCGGAGAAATTGTGAATTTGGCTGGACACTATGCAGCCGAAGTTCTTGGGTTTTAAACAACGTTCAACGGCGAACTGTTCAAGTTCAGGAAGTTCCCTCAACCAGTCTTGCCAACGCACTAAATCTTCATGTGGAATTCTGTCATCCCAGTCTAATCCTTTCTGGCACAGATCACGCAGAATTGCTTTCTTAGGCAGAATCAACGGGGCAATGAATCCCAGAGGGTCATAAATTGAGCTTATGACAGAGAGAATACCCCTCCTCGTTGGGGGTCGGTCCTTCACAACAATCTTGAAACGGAATGTATCTGACTGGACATCCCACTGAATGCCGAGGGCACGCTCTACAGGCAAGCTCTCGAGATCGAGCTCTTTGACGGATGCGGCTCTCTCAGACATGGGGACTGACTTAATGACATCATATGCATTTGAAATCCATTTTCTTAAACGAAAACCTCCTCTAGCCAGCAACTGACGTAGTTGATTGACCAATTGACTTGCTTGTTGGTTATCTTCCACAGACTTCAAGCAATCGTCAACATAGAAATTTCTTTTTACTGTTTGAATGGTGTCTTTGTCAAAGTGTTCTGCTTTGTCATCGGCTGTTTTCTGCAGTGTGTAATTGGCACAACTAGGGGACGAGACACCTCCGAAAAGGTGAACTAGCATTTGAAATTCTTCTAGCTCTTCATCCGTGTCACCACCCGGCCACCACAGGAAACGGAGATACCTGCTATCCTCGGTTGGTACTTGTACTTGATAAAACATCTTCTCGATGTCAGCCATAATGGCTATGGGCTGTTCTCTAAATCTTGTCAGAACTCCAGTGAGTGAGTTGGTTAAATCGGGTCCTTGCAATATTTGTTGATTGAGCGAGACATTCTGGAACTTTATAATTTGGATATATCAACAAAGCTGAAATGGTAAATTGGCCACCGTAATGATTAAAAAGCCAAATTACCATTTCAGCTTTGTTGATATATCCAAATTATTTCGTTACTCCCACCGACGCAGCCCCAAACAGTTTCTTTCGAAACTATCAGCCTTTATTCTGGAACTTTGCCGCACAGTCGAAGACCACCCTGACCTTGTCGGGTTTTTGCAGATGAGTGACAGGATGATGAGGTAAGTACCATGCGGGCGAACCATCACGCTGATCTTCAGGAACCTTTCGTGCATGACCTTTGTTAAACAAGTCATCCATAAATACAGAATACTCCCGGTGTAGTTCCAGATCCTGCACCAGTCTCTTCTTCAGCAACCCAAGGCGACGTTCAGCGACTAACTTGTTGTTAGGTAGATGAGGAGGGAAGACCTTCCAAGGAAATGCAATTTCATAATGACCATCGCGAAATTCGGCAGACTCTTCCATCATGGTAAGGGCTCTCTTGTCATCTTGTGACAATCCTTTCTCGATGCTGAACTGCGAATCGTTCAATTCCATTTCACAGAAACGCGCGAACTGCTGGTCCAAGAGAACATGAGACTGAATACGGTTTGTAGTACGGCTTAACTTACTTGGCCTACCAAGTGGGCCATTGATGGTCCATCCTAGCAGTGTTCGCACAGCATATGGGCCACCATCTTCACTTCTCTGCACTTCTTGAGGCTCAAGAGCTTTGGGCGCATTGCTGCCTATGAGCAATTCGACGTCGGCATCAATATAAGGTAAGTCGATATCCTTCAGGTATAACCACCTTTCCACATCACTTTGAACTGCAATGTCATCAAGTGTGACTGGAAGCTTAACTCGCGAGAAAAGATCAGACAGTTCAACAACATTACGTCCCTGTAGATCGGAAACTTCCAAATTGACCACCAGACTCTCACTCTTAACATTATCACTATTCGTGGGAGTTAAAGACAATGTCGCCTTTCTACCTGTTGTGCCCAGACGTTCTATCAACTTGTTGGTGCAAAACGTAGTATTCGATCCTCGATCCAGAAACGTGTTGGTTTGAACCATCTTCTCCTTTTCCTTAGCTCTGACATTAACTGGAACTATGGCTAGTCCTGTAGCTGACGCTCCGGCCCCAGTGGCACTACACGTTCCTTCGCGCCCAACCACTTCGGTGAAACAGCTTCGTGCTCGATCATTTTGCTTCTCATTGTCTGTGTTGCTCGACTGAGTCTCAGATGTTTATGCAGGTTCTGTTTTGGCTGGTTTGTCATTCTTCGGGTGTAAGAATGTAGAATGTTTTCGATGACCTATCTTACATCCGACTATCTGGCAGTAGCTCTGCTTGGGGCAAGACATCGTCATATGTCCTGCCACGAGACAATTATCACACAGTCCTCTACTACGCACAAAAGTAATTCGCTCGTCGACTGACTTTGCTCTGAAGAGCTGGCAGCGTGACAGCCAATGACTCTCTTTACACAGTGGGCACTTAAAAATCGACTTCTTCGGCACATTTTCGGTGTCGTCCTTAGGAGGGTCAGTGGGCCTTTCTGGGGTAGTTCCATGTGTCGTGAAAGCAGAACCTTTGTGCTCCTTTTGATGGTGTTCTGTGTCTTCGTTTGGAACCAGCGCTTGCAGCAGTGTTCTTGTCTTCATTTGAATAGATGTTCCTGAACACTAAGTGATTGGCGATTCTAGCCTTTGCTTCGACAAATTCTGCAATATCTCCAATAGTAACTTCCCTTTTCAAATCCGCTGTGATGTGGTCAGCCTTTTCACGCCATCTCTGGCTTAGCCCAAGTGGCAGCCTTCCAATGATCTTTTGGAGAGTGTCAGGGTTTTCGATTTTGCTCAAGTATCCAATTTCTTGGAGCGAGTTCTTACAACTTGGAAGTAGAACAGAGTACCTTTGCAAATTTCTCATAGCTAACTCAAACTCAAGAAACTTCGCTCTAACCTGATCAACATTGTCAGAGTTCTCCATAGGCTCGATTACTTCGCGCTGTCTTCTGGTGACGACTGCCTTTGAACCAGACCGGCTACGCTTTAAGGGAAGAATTCTCTCATGAGCGGCCTCCTCAACGGTTTTCTTTTTCAACCCACGTGAGTCCATGTTAATCCACAACCGATCCACAAGCGAAGAAACAAATTATTGATGGCACAAGATCAATCAAAGAACGGATAATTCCACTGCACAATCGACGAAATCTAAGACGATAACCGCGAATCCAACGTAAATCTTTCAAACGCAAATGTAGACTTGAATACTCGAATAAGGTTTTAATCACGAAGATCTGGTTGGACTGTACAAAAAAGGAAACAAACGTAAACAAAACGAAGCGAAACGAAAATACTACAGTGACAACATACTTACAAGATTTGTGGACTCGCAGGAAACGTAAAGAAAACATTCATGAGAAAAAATAAACAAGCATTTAGGACCGAACTTTGACTTCTGGAGGTCCGAGCACATGGTACATACCATAATATCAACAATACATGACGTAGATTACCAGTCCCGCGCGGACTGAGCACGAGAAACGTTTTGTAACTTACATAAGTTATTATTTCCAGAGATGTTTGAAACTGGTAGAAGCTTTTGATCATAGGTGGAATAACAAACCACATGCAGCCTTACAACTTTTGCCTAAAGTCTATGCTAGATTAAGTCATAAAAATTACCTTATTTGATTGTGTAAATTCCCTCACAATTCTGAGTTCAGAATTATGCTTTATCCCAAACAGGATATGTTAATATCACCTAAGATGCCAGACAGGTTGCATAGATGTCGCCAATATCTAAGATCCCAAGTGAGTTGTGAATCCAACCTCATATCTGAGGTGGAATATGTGCAAATCCTTTGTAGGATCCCAGGTGGGGTTAACATCCTGCCTAGGATCCTGGGCAGCAGGTAGGCATCCTGCCAAAGATCTCAGGTGTGTATCAGAATCCCAGGTGGGATATGTAAATCCCACCTGTAAGGCAAGATATCCCAGGTGGGGTTGTCTTTGACTCCCTGGCAGGATCCCACCATTCCCACCCGGGATCCTGGGTGGGATTGGCAAGATCCTGCCTAAATCCCACTAATCCCACCTGTGATCCCGGCTGGGATGTGAAAATCTTGCATTTAAGGTGGGATCCCAGGTAGGATCATATTTGATTCCCAGGCAGGAATGGCAGGATCCCGCCTTAGGTGGTGGGATCCTGCCATTCCCACCTGGGATCCTGGGTGGGATCATCTTTGATTCCCAGGCAGGAATGGCAGGATCCCGCCATTCCCACCCGGGATCCCGGGTGGGATTGATGGGATCCCACATTTAAGGCGGGATCCCAGGGGGGAACATCTTTGATTCCCAGGTCGAAATGGCGGGATTCCGCCATTCCCATCTGGGATCCCGGGTGGGATTGGCAGGATCCCGCATAGATCCCGGGTGACTTTTTACCTGGGAAGGTTCCCCCATTTGCGTAGTTCTTTGTGCTGAATAACATTTGTTGACAAGAAAGATACATCTCTCATAACGTAGCATTTTGGTTAAGATCTTTTGCTTGGTGATTGCTGACTTTTTCGCAGTGGTGAATAATGTTAAAATTAAGAGTACAAAGTACAAGGTTTAATTTAAAGTGTACAACAAAATGGTCTGAGGACAAAACAATGTTTGCAATAACAAGGAAAGTTCTGTGAGTAACTCTTGACAATGAAATTAACTTGCCTACCTCATTTGTGAAAAGAGCTTATCAGTAAAAAAAAGAAACAGCTACAAAAAGACTTTCAACTCTACAATACAATGATTTGAGTCAGCTAATCTATTCCAAAGGATCTTACAAAAGGACAAGATTCCTAACGTCAAGTCTGCTTCCTGAGGGTCTGAAAAGGTACAAAAATCGAGGAAGCTTTCCCATCAGTTGTAGGACTCTAACTACATTTCGTAGATTGATAATGCAAGCTGAAACTGGTCAGGGGAATCATCCATAAGTTCCTGAAGTTGTTCCTCTGACAAGAAGGTGGGAATTTTACCGTTCTGTAGTACATTCAATGCCATTATAATTCCACACGTATAAAAATGTTCTGCAAAGTGCTCGATGAGTCCCATTGCTAAACAACTTTTCTTTGATTTCTTTGAGGACCAACCTGAATAAATCTTTCCTAGGCCCTCAAAATCCTAGGCTCGCATAGCCATAAACTTTACCTCACTTGGCAGCCTTAGGTTGTAAATCAATGATACTTCAGATAATGCATCATAAAAGAGGTTGTCCCTCTCAGCTATTATAAAGTTGGTTTTCCCTCTATCTCTTAAGGGGTCATCAATGTCTTACTGTCCCCTAAGTAAAATTTTATCTTGTGCTTCCTTTAAGTTGAGAAATTGATTTTGCAATTCTTTATACTGGTCAGTGATATTGGTGGTAATGTTATCAATCATTAAGTAATCAACTTTGCTAAGATGTTGGCCTCCATTATCTCTTGGCTTTTCCATGTTACCTGCAGGTTGGATTACATGTTATCCATTACCATGTTGTTGAATATAAGTTGGTTCAACTGCTTGTTGTTCTCTATCATCTTGGCTTGGGTCATCTGAGGATTTGTCCCCTCATCCCAGATGCATTACATGTTCTTCCTCACTTGGCTCTTGGCTCCTTTCGGACATGAACTCATCCATACCTCTTTAAATAGCACTTTCCATCTCTTTAAGGGTCATCTTCAGCAATTAAACGTACATAGACAGCTCTTAAAGAGGCAATACTCTTAAGCAAAATACTTCCATTTATTCTTTCCTTTTGGCCATTTTGGGTTTCACCAGAACGCCAGCAACATTCTTGAGAAATTTGAATTCCACACCTTTTCACTCGTCAGGAGACTGTGCTTTGACTTCACTGTACAGCGTTTTTTTTTCCACCCTTTGCTGATGGCAAATAGGCTTATATTCTGGTTTTTACATGAAGACAGACATTTTCCGCCCGAGTTCTTGGTGCCTTTGAATACTGTAAGACCCACAATAATTATGTCTTTGATCGCAATGTCATTTGATAGATGACCAACCCTTTGTGTGGAAATAGGGTTGCCTATGCTGCTCGATGCAGAGGTACAACTGCAACGAGTTGTTCCTTGGATAGTCGGGGATCTTCGCTGTAGTCCACAAACTAAACTTTGTGTCAGAGAAGAACTTGAAGTAGCTGTCACAGTACGTGTGCGATTTGAGTTCATCAGCTGCGAAATTCGATTGATTTCTGCATATCAGCGTTTTAACAAATCTATTGAATCATCCATCCCGAAAAATAAAAAATTCAGATTTACGTGGTGCCTATTTCAAGGTAAAGATTTGCTGTCATACAAATAAAACATGGCTTAGACCCAAAACTGAGTGGGAAAACACTCGGGCTAAGGCCCTGCAATGCATTGTAGGACCAAAAATGTGAGTTGGAGAAACTCTCTTTGGGGTCATTTTATCATTATAATTTTGACTAAAACGGGCCTACATTCATATAAACATCACTCTGGAAGAGCATTTTCAATGACCAACAGGTTTTAAATAATTTTATTCTGTAATTTCCATAGCTCATTGTTATGTAGTTAAGCTATAGTTTTTAATATCTCTAATATTTTTATTGTATTTTTAGTGCTAGGAGGGCCACTGGTTTATTAGTATTCCTTACTATTTTAGTGCTGCCCTCATTAAATAAAGCCTTTACTTACTTACTCACTTACTTACATAAGCCCCCAATAAAGTACATAAATTGTTACAGATGTTGGAGCGACTCCGTGACAGTGTTTTGTGAGATTTGGACTTCATTACTTTTACTTCCCTTTTGATCTCATCTTCCTTGTCTGGGACAAATACGGAAAAATAGGCGATCCCACGGGATTTAAACTAAAACCAGCTGACGAATTAAAATTTCTTGGCTCTAACCACCACTAAAAATGTTTAAATGCGAGTCTTTGTAATCGCTATACTCAACACGGACGTTGCAAAGTGCCCGCATAATTCCAATAAAGGAGTAACTGTAGAAACCCTGTCACATCGAGTCTGTTACTGAAAAGGGATGGCTACGTGGTACGCAATACTCGGAA